AAAACGGCCTCCGCGTTTTACGCGCCGCCGTCACATTATTACCGACCGGGCGCGTACGTTTCGCGCGGGGTGCGCGATCGAAACGCGAACGCGCCCGCGACCGGACGCCGTGACGTTTTTGTTCTGCTTCGCAAATCGCGCGCCGCGCGACATTCCCGGCGTGCCGTGGCCCACACGTCGCCGACGGACCGGGGCGCTCGCGCCGACCGCAAAAGCGCAAACGTCCGAAAACGCCCGCGTACCCCGTATCGCGTTGTGCCGCACGGACGACAACCCGCTCACCTGCCGTTTTCGAATTTCAAACGACCGGAACGACAATATCCGCACTGTCCCCGTCATTTGACCGTGCGCGCGACGACGAATCGCAACGCGACATCGTAAATGTACCGTTCAACGTTAATAAACTAATCACGGTAAACGTTCGGTTATAATACGCAATATATAACATTAATAGTTATCATGTTGTCGCGTATCACCGTCGTCATCGTGGATACTCATCAAGCGTCTCCATCGCGAGCGTGTTTCGGTTAATGGCCGTACAAAGTAACAGGATTTCGTAAACAACGCGTTTTGGCGAGTCTGGTTATAACTTTGGGTCACGGGTTACCGAAATATCGCAACAAAACCAAACGGACGGTTGTTGATAAGACCGCGGTCGGATTACTGGCCATTGCTTATTTTTTTTTTTTTATTATCAATTAATATATTACCTGTATTACCCGAAACATGCCGTTTTCGTGAATACGAAAATATCCATCTGCAAAATCATAATATAACCGGGTTAATCGTCAAAACACACCTCATATTTTTTTGTATTTACGTTTTCAATATTTATCATCAATTATCACACACACACACTTTGGACTTTATTCCAATTTGTTACGTTATATATAATTATAATACATACGATTAAATGTGAGACGGTTGATTGGAAACCTTTTTTTTCGTATTAACTATGATTATTTTTACGTGACGTTGCTGTGACCCCTATTAGATTCTGAGTGGAACGAGGAATTTATTGGTTTTACAATGATAGTTATTATTTTTTTTTTTTTTTACGCGAACACTTTTTCTACCAGAAAACATATTTCGATTATCAAGTATAGTACTTTTTCTGAAAGTGGAACTTTAAAGAGGTCATTTTTTGAAGATCTTATTAATATTCTAGATAACGAGGAAAACCTTTCGGTCTTTAGGTTAAACAAGATTGAAAGATTAAAAATAATGTTGTTACTGGCAACCGTTTTTATTTTTTTAATCTTTATTAAACAATCGTTGTTGTCGTGGAAACGCACATTGTTTTAATAGTTTTCCTATAATAAGACATAATGCCATAATATATTGTATTGCTGACAAAGCAACATTATCAAATGAACTCGGCTCAGTATCGTTGTTTCGTCAGCAATGGTTTATCCGGGCTTACAGATATACATTAAATTCCCATCTATAGTCTACCTTCCCAAATTCTCATCTACAACAGTGGCTGCACCCACGTGTGAAGTATGCCCGTATTTTTTTTTTTTATTATTTTTAATTGTTAATTTTTTGCACGACGATTTTTATATTAATTTTAAAACACATAAACTTCGCGTAGCCTCCACTTTAAAAACGCCACCGAATGATTAGAAATTGAGTTTGGCTAATTGAAAATACAGTTCTGTACTTGTACGATTTTTTAAAATTAAAATAAAAAATGAAATTATGATATAGCTATAAAAATATCGTATATGCAAGATTCTTTCTTAGACGTGTACGGGAACAACACATAAAATAAATCAAGATCTTCGGTTTTTGATGTTTTAACATCAACAACTTTACTCTAGTTCTCGGTAGCTGGATTTACTGACCGGACGACTAATGGAATATAACTCCTTGTGCACCGCGAATTTCTAACATCAAATTCCTTATCGCAGTTCTTAGTTGTTCAATATTTCAACTACTGCTCTTATAGTTGAGTCTTATAGTTAATGTTGTCAATTCATCCGGTAACCACTATAGAACGATAGGTTACCGAGAGACAACCGAGACAATAGAGAGAAACCGTGTTGATATTTAAACACATACAAATTTAACATAAACAAGTTTTCCAAAATATAAAACAAAACTTTATTTGAACTTGTTGCGCTCGTCTTCCGGGCCTTTATCCTGAAGTCCCGGAAAAAAATTCCATTTTAGAGTTAACTCCGCAAACGCAACGCGAAAATCCCCGGGAAAAACAAAACATGACCTTCTTAAAGTACCAAATAGATAAAATTTCCTTTCAGAAAAGGTGCTAAACCTGATAGATCGAAACAAGATCTTCAGTAGAAATGTTGTTAATAGAAAAAAAAAAATAAAATAAATTCCACTGTAAAACCGATGCATTTTCTCGCTCCGCTCAGAATCTTAAATATTTGTGTTTGGCGGACGGGATATGAGAAACGGTTAAAACGCGGTTTTGCCTAACGAATATCTTGTATTAAAATTACTTAATAATAGAAAGAAGGCCTAATGGTATTTAACGGAGTTCCACAGTTAAAAAGGGTAATACCGGCCAAGGTTAATAAAAAAGATACGTAACGTGTTGATAGGTTTCATTATATTGATGCCGACCTACAATAGAACTCGTTTGAAAAAATAAGTATGAAGAGTAACAAAAAAAAGACAGAGGAGAAATTTAGTGTATGCCTGTACGTGAACATTAACCATTTATAACGAAAAACGATTCTGAGCAGAGATCGGTAAATATGTTTACAATATATATATATGTCATATTATTGTAAAATAATTACATATGCATTATATATTTTCTTTAATAATATTTGTTTAATATCTTACCTATTTTCCCTACGTTTTTCTCGGTTTATCGCATGTTTCCCCTATTTTTCAAATTTATTATGAAAATAGCTGGGACAATCCAAAAACAACTTCATCAAAGTCTTACTCCAGTAAGTTTCCCTTTCAGAAAAAGTGCCACATTTGAAAATCAGAACAAGATTTCTGGTAGAATAGTTGTCCATAGAAAAACAAAAAATACGAACAAATTAACATCATTGTCAAATCAAAACAGTACTCGCTCCGCTCAAAATCTAAAATACGTGTTCCGTCGTTGGACGTGAAACAGCCGAGTGAGTGAGTGTACACCAATATGTGGACGATTGGGAGTGCGTAGCGGTGGCGGCGGCGTGTGGTTTTGGGAGACGGATATATGATTTGGCGGCTTTTAATTGGCGGTGACCTTTGTGTCAGTATACCCGTGAAATGCAATTATTCAAACAAATCATAGCGTCGTCGGCATCCAGTTTGGGCGTTGCGGGCCGGGGGTAGATGTGTTGTTGAATTGTCCATTTCGCGTATGCGTTCTCGACGCTAGCGGTAGATATTAATTTACCGGAGGGAAGAGATTGCAAACACACGCACGAATGAACGCGAAAGACGATTACGGGCGGCCGAGTACCGACATAAATATAACGGGCGTCGATTTTGGACGTTTTAGTTAATATTACTGCAGTTATGAAATTATAAGACCGATTTATAATAATTCGATTTGAATGAAGAAAATTGAAATTTAATTAATAATATTTACGCCGAGCTCATTTTCATTGGAAAATGCATCAATGAGTATCATCATAATCTAATTATTTCTTTGTCGAATCGGATTAAACGATGTTTCAGACTCTGAGTGGAGAAAAGAAGCTTATGGTTTTACAAAGATGTTTATTTTATTTGTTTTTTTCTAATGACAACATTTTTACCAGAGATCTTGCTCCGATTTTTAAGTGTAGCCCCTTTTCTGAAATTAAATCAGTGTAGGGAGGTACTTTATGGCGGTCATTTTTCGATTTTCTCTAGAGTTTTCTCACCAAATCTAAAAAACCGAAAAAAAAAGAAGGAAAATGTACGAAATATATTTTAAAAAAATACGATTTTTTTTCCTGGGCACAACTTTTTTATCAGAAATTTATAATGATAGCAAATATTCTAAAAAGAAATTTGACTAGTGAGGTACATTAAGGAGGTCGTTTTTCGATTTTCCCAGGAGTTTTTCCAACAAATGTGAAAAACCAGGGGAAAAATATAAGAAAACCGTAAAAAACTTAGAACAAACAGGAAAATTGATACACCAAAAAAAATATTATTGAAAAAAATATTTAATGCCTACTTTATAATTTTACTATCGAATGAATTCTGCTCAGAATCGTTTTTTCGTCAACAATTGTTTTTCGTTGCTTACGAGTATAAATTAAATTACTTATAACACTGTCTGTACCCGACCCCATTATCTTAGGATGTTTTTTCTACCAGTAATTTTGCTCAAATCGAAAAATAACAAGAGATTTATTTTGTTCTATTTAGTGTCTAGCCATTGACGGAAAAATTCGTTTTTAATATTTAAATTAGTTTTTATAATAATCAGAATAACCTAAAAAGACGAAAAATACATTATTTTCTAAAATCACGGCGCTTCGATGTCATTATTTAAAATGTGTAAGATAACATTTCCATCAGAAATCTTAGTCCAAATTCCAAAAATAAGCATATTTTCTAAAAAAAAATATTACCTATAGTTTGTGAGTAAGGAAGTTATTGTTTTGTTTTCAGTATAATTTTCCTTATAATTACGAGAAATCAGAGAAAACGCCGAGCTTTTGCCTTTTCTCTAAATACATCTCTGAGCTAGTACCTGATCAGGACTTTTATACTTTTTACGCTTTTTCGTTCATAACCACTGTTAGAATAATTTCTCGAAGGCATTTCGCCGACACATTATTGTTATTCTCCGAGTGCTGTGTTTATTTAAATTAGTTTTAACTTTATTTTTTCAATACCATCTTGAGTAATCTCTAATAATTAAATTTAAAATAAATATAATACTAAAGACAGTTTTACTCTTCTAGTTATAAAAAAAAAAAAAAAAAAAAACGTATTGTATTCGATGTAAATTATATTTGCAAGACGGTAATGCATCGGCGGCGGTTGACGTAAGATGTTTATGATGTGTTTGTCGGCTTTGGAAGCTGCTAACCCGACGACTTAATGAACGAACTGTGGGGCACAATCTTCTTTTTCCGCGGGTTCATGTCGTTATACAGCGTCCGGTAGTACTTCATGTCGATTTTTTCTGGCGGCTTGAACACTCGACGGTCGTACACAACGCAAGGAGACCTCTTGGATAATAGTGCCTTGTACGCGTTAACGGTCGCCCAAAAGTTGTGGGTTTTCCGTTCGTCTGTCCGAAACTTGCCCAACACGTACTTAGCCAACTTACGGCATATCCTGTACACCATGCATATGGTCACAGGCGACGACCCGGCGAACTTCAGGTCGTCCGGCTTTGTGGTGGACACGAAATACGCGGTCTTCTGGTGCGCTATCACCAAGAACACGGCCACCAAATCCTGGATGTCCTGCGCAACGGAAATTCGGCGTTAAATAATAATATTATGCATGCCGAATAATAATAATAATAATAAAACATAAATCGATAGCCATGATTTTAAAACAAATATAATTACAATGCAATAAGGATTATAATAATACACAATAATAGAGAGCGTGAATAATAAAAATGATAATCAGACACACACGTAGATTCACGGACGGGACGCTTTTCGCGACAACGACGGAGGCATTGACCACTGATTTTTTTAGCATTAATTTGCAGTAATCCACGTACACTTCATTTTTATTGCTAATCGTTTCTACCTTTGTTTATGCCCTTTGGGAAAATCTTTACGAAATATTTCCGCTGTATATTTATACCGGTGTATATACGAACAAAAGATGAACGATGCATTTTTCGACATTTTGATATTTTTATTCAAAAACCATACGACCGGGCGAAAAGGGAGTCGAAAAAAGTAAAAAAGATTTTCGTTTTGGAATCGAAAAGATGAGTGCGCTAATTAAGAAAGAACCATTATTTGTCTTCGTGGACAAGTAATTAATAATATAAGCATGGTAAAAACAGCCGTGGCCGGTAATGCTTCGAATCGTGTTAGCGTCCGCCGATGTTATAGTCTAGAGGTCAGGAAGGTACATGATGATACATATTTAGGACGTTTACGCCCATGCGTTACTTTTTCCTCTGATTTTTCGGACGGTTTTCCCTTTACTGGGACAAAAAATTATAAATATACGAATATTAAACAATATAAAAATATAAATAAACACGTCATGTCCTTTTTACAAAATTTATATACAATCAACAATGTTTTTTTTTTTTTATCATTGTTAGTATTTAAAATATACAAATATAATTCGAAATTTAAGGTTATGAAAGTACAAAAAATTAATAAAAATTATTGTTAACAATTTTTTGTTTTTTACTTAGGGTACTTCTGGTAAAAACAAAGTGCATACCTACCTATTTCGAAACTTATTATTATTAATCAAAAATTATTTATAATATAAAATAAATGCGATTTTAAATAAAAATAATACATTGTATTGATTCAAGGGGGCAATGTCTCAGCTCAGGGAGAGGGTAAGCACCCAAGATCAGGATGACCTATTGATGATAGCTTTTACTGGTCTAAAATTTAAATGTTTAAAATTAATTTACAGATCCTTATAAAAATGTAAGCTAACGAATGAGGAGAGTTTCTCCTCCCAGAATGTGTGATATTTTTTCAACATAACCTCGAAAAGTTTTCGGCGGCCATCCATTTGGTACAGTTTCATTGGAAATATTTCATTCGACAAGGTGGCCAAGAAAGCGCGCATCCGGTCGACGCCCGTTTCTGGTACGACATTGCCGTCCAGCGACCGGTCGAATCGGCTATATAGGTGGTCGTTATTTATAAGGTCGTTGACCACAGTCGCCACTTCCAATTTGTTTTTGGACTTGATCAGTTTTTTCGGAATCACGCCGTTATCGTTCACGTGTCGCAGTCTGTCGATGGTCTTTCGGGCGTCTGCGTATATCGTCTCTGAAAAAATAATCGATAATTTTGCGGCAAATTACTATATTATTTTATAGGTAAGTGACTTCCTCTCGGAAATCACGTAAAAGGCCCGTACATTATTTAAAAGAACTTAGGTATTAGGTTCGTCGATAAACGGCCCGAGGAAGATGCAAGTGCGTGGAATAATAATTGTTCGTTTTTGCCGAAAAAATTCGGATATTTTCGCGAAAAACTGCCACGAAAATACCAAACGGTTATTTTTACTATTTTTTTTTTTAACGTCTGTCTATATAGAAATAGTATTCACCATAATTAAAGATGTATCGCGTATGTACCAACGTATCGATGCGAGACTCCTAAACTGAATCTGAAAATCAGCTGGCGTATAGTTATAGTTATTACTCTGAATCTAAAACGTGAGATGTTAGTGCTGGTGCTAAATTATATTGTTCGAACAAATCGAGACACTTTTAACTACAAATATTGATGTTTTAGTTAATTTGTACGTTAATTTGAAGAGACCTATTATGTTTTCTACACGTCAAATTACAGCTCACTACAAATCGCTCCAGATTCGTCTGAAAAGACGTCGTCGCCTAGTATAGTTAACTATTAGTTATGTACACAGTAAAACCTATTCTTATTTAACTTTCTAAACTGGTCATAGAAGAAAGACGGCGCACAGTGTTCCAAAACAGAAATTTGCCGGTCATAATTATTAAGACGTAATATTTATAATATACAATTTAAAATTATAGGAATTAGTACTGTTCTATCAATAAAAATGTTCGTGGTTTACCTCCCCCCTTGCCGAAAATGTTTTGATTTATATTATACTATATATTAAATAACTTATAGAATTTTACAATAAAATTAAAACAACAAAAATTTGACATTGCATCAGCTTGCATAAAAGCAGGTACTTATTCTGGGGGGATGAACCCCCTCCCTCCGAAAATTAATAATTTTGTAATTTATTTATATAAATTTAATTTTCTTTTATGAATATTGATAATTGTAAATTTTGTATGAATCTCTCCTGAATTTTTTTTGTGTACGCGCCTGCATAAAAGTATAGGTTGTTATCGTAAACGATTTACGAGTATTCGTACAAAGTACCTATTGTTGTTATTGATAGTAGTTTTGTTTATCTACCTATAAAAATACTATCAGAGAAATCAAATTAAATTTAGCTAGAATATTTATTCCAACTAGTTACAGTTTTACTTGCCCAGTGTCTGGAACGTTTTTCAATAAATACAAATTCCTATAATTTAAAATACACACGGAAAAGGTCAAGAGAATGTACCAATCGAGATTTATTTCAACTTCTTATGATAAGTTCAGACCCACTCATACATTCACTATATATTAAAGAACATAAAAGATAACCAACAAAAACTGAAATGAAGGAATTCAAAATATTTTTTAATACTTTCAGATGAAGATAGCTATAGTAAAAGTGATTAAAATGAGGAGATCGACGGTTACACAACTCTTTGTGATGACATTCCGTGATTTTATAAAAAATAAATACTTGATAAAACAAATATGATAATCGATTTTATTTATTTAGGGGTAACTTGAGGCGACTGAATATTAGACCATGGTATTCACTATAGTTCCTGATTTATATAAATATAACTCTTGTCGTCGCGCAACTTGGCGCAAATATTCAAATTTTTTTTTATTTTATCTTTACTAAGTTAATATAATATTTATAATTGTGCAAGTAAATCACTTCTGAAGAGCTGTTGATCGCTTATAAAATAGTGTATTTCGATTTAACGATTTACAAATGTTTTCTTTTTAAACACTCTATCGAAGTTTAAAATTACAAGGTAATAAATATTGTAACACGAGGTAAGCTCCATTAAAACACCTAATATAAGTCTGCTTATTGTTATAAATATTAAAAGTAACGAAAATGTATTATTATTTTACTAAATAATAAAAGTTTCACATTCAGGTAATTAAAAAAAATTTAAAAATATTTGATTATGACCGAAAAATTTCTGTTTTGAAACACTGTTTACGGCGACCGTAACAATATTTATTACTATGCCCATGCGTAATAATTGTTCATACGAGGAGCGCTCGTTTTCATTTTTTACGTTTAGTACGAAATAGTGTAAGTTTGGGGATTGCCACCTCAACACATCTGGATGGACAACCAGTATATTTTTAATTTTCGTATTCACTCACTGGAAATTCTTTTTTTCGTGTACTCGAATATACCTCTCTCGACCAACCCGTGCATAATGTACTCCACGTTGATCCTAATGTCCGCTTCGTGTTCTACTATCTTCCTGGCCAAGGATATCACGTCGTTGGCGGTGGCTGTCGGTTCCGATAAAATTTTGGCCTTTTTCATCGCTTCAATTATCATATTATCATTGTTGTCGGTCGGGCCGTAATTTACGTCTTTTGGAAACAATAAATGTGTTCTATTAATATTATACCACTTCATCCGTCGATAAAGTCGACGAATCACACCGGGAATTCAATAAGAATCGTTTACTGTTATTGGGAGAGTAAAAAAAATAAAACAATTTCTGCGGTGTTAACGAGACGCGTGCTGAATTCTTATCGGCCGGTACACAAGTTGTGTCCATAACAGCTTGTGACACGAAATATGTAATCCGAAAATCCAGAACTAAGTTAGTTTATGAGACGGAAATAATTTCGGACATCTTTTCTAGAAAAAATACGCTACTGAATTAGTGTACCAGTCTATCCTGACACTAATCATTGATGTATTGCTACAATAAACCGTGAGTATACGTCTTATTCACGTGTATAGAGATATATGGAGTTCTAAAGGTAGGGTCCAAAAAATTTTTTCTCGGACAATGAATCTTTTAGTTTTTGAACGGACCGAAGAAGCTTATGATTTTACAAAGATATTAATTAATTTTTTTTTTTATCTATACCCAAATTTTTTACTAGAAATCTAGCTCCGATTTACAATGATAGCATTTTATTTTGGAAATAAAATCAGACTGGGGAGATCATTTCTCGATTTTCTCAGGAAATTCTCGTCAAATGTGAAAACACGGTGGAAAAACAAGAACGTGTACGGAATATATTAGTAAAATAGTATGTATTATATTATCATCATTCATCACTTGCTTGATAACAAGACTATTAACGAAACCTTAATTTTTAAACGATAATAATTTTTCATAAAAACAAAATGACGCTACGTCCTGTATTACAGTTCGTGCTCATCAAAATGCAATTCACAACAATATTTATAAATATTAAATAGGTATTTATAATTGCCATGCTGGGTATACGGTAGATACGGCCGTATACCCGCGTATAATCAATTAGTCGTAAGCTTTACGCCACGGACAAAAAAAAGCGTGTTGGTTATACGCCGCGTACCCCCCGTATACCCTCCCAATACACCACCTAAGGTTAGCGCCCGTTGATTTTGTCTGATAATGATCATAACAAATTATTATTAATTAGAAATCTCAATAAATGTAATGTATTTATCGTTTGAACTCGAAAAGTAGAAATTGCCGGATACCGTTATTATCATCATTATGTTATTTGTGACATAAACCGTTTGAAACCAACAATTTCGATAACTTTTCAAAACACTTAGGTATACGATATGAACGCGAAAAATATTAAAAGAGTTCGTACTGTTTAACATGATTTGTTGCATCAATGTCGGCCCCTGGACGTCCGTGGCATTTACCATCATAACTTCTGACTCGTTGCCCCGGTACTCTCTCGGTGCCCACTCCACACTTTCTTCTAAGAGGGTTTCCTCTTCCAGACACTGCGTCATTCGGTTCCACAGCGGTGCTGTTTTGTTCCAAAACATTTCACCCTGTTTACAGGTGGCAAAGTTCGTCTTGAGCTTTTCAATACGATCCAGTATTTTTGTTTTGAACGAACGATGGCTTTCATAGTTGAGTGCTTGTTGGTCTGACTGCGTAAAGACGGACCCGTCAGTTGTTATCTGCAGTTCAATAGTATTTAAAAATGCCAAATATAATGAATCGATAAATTATTGCAAACGGGGAAAATGATTCCGTGTGAAGCTCGTTTAATTGGTTGTCGGTTGTCATTTACCAGTATTGTAGGTCTTAATTTTCCGGAATGATAAAAACACGGAATGTAATATTCTGGAACGTAATACTCCCGAACGTGAAACCTCGAACCGCAAAATAATCCGGGACGTAGGAATCCAGACAAAAAATCATGGGCCACCAAAGTCCAGAACGTAATATTTTGAAATTAAGTAAAAGCAAATAGTTCCTATTTTTTTTATTTTTTTTTTGAAGATTTCTTACCGTTCCTAAAACGGAAACCTCCAGTCTATTCAAAAATAGGTTACCAATATCAATTTTTATTTCACCGGACTTTTCTCTTCATCTGACTCCGTACATTCAAATAGTTCACCCGCCCCAACTATTTAGCTTTAATTTCACTAATTACACACTGGCTCCTTTTTTTGTTTCTTACACGATTTCACGTTATACAAGTTTATCAAATTTTATAAATATTATTATTATCCATGACAAAAAAAAAAAAAATAAATATATTTATGACCAGGCGTATAATAATACTACTTTTATTACATTTTATCATTGATATTTTTCCGGAATATAACGTTCCGGATTTTTGCTGTCCGAAAAATTGAATGTCAGACTATTCTGTTCTGTACATTTGTAATCTGTGTTCTTACGTTCCGAATAATTTAGTTTTGGATTTGTATTTCCCTTTACTGGTATCAAATATGGTTTACCCTGTGTAACTAATGAAAACTTGGAAATACGAAAAAAAAGCCGATACATGAACAATTTACATGACAACAATATTTTAGGATGGATGGGCCACTATTGTAGTAGTAAGTTAGGAAGATTATAGGATTTATGCAGTTATTTTTATGTATGTATACAATGTATACAACGGTAAACCACTGAAAACGAAAAACAATTTTGAGCGAAGTTCAGTTATACCTACGTGTTTTGAAATGTCATGATTATTACGATTTTTGTCGAAATTTAAACTTTAAAAATGTTTATAAAAAACAAAAAAAAAATGAAAATTTTATGAACGACTTTTTTTAACATCAACTAAACCTATGATGATCCTTGCATTAAATTATACACAATTTTCCTTTGCCAAAATAATTTTGTTCCAAAATCTCAAAAATGATAAATTTGGAATGTCAGAAGCTAAACAATGTTTAATTATCATTGAAATTAATACAATTTTTAAGACGGTTTTAATCACACTCACTCGGGAAACATTATATCGTTAAATTTTCTAATATTATTATTTAACAATATAATAATTTGTCGTGACTTGTGAGTGTTTAACACGAATTAAGATGTACAGGATACCGAACGGAAAAGACTTATCAATGTTTTTCTGAGGTCCGCCCGCTTCTCACTGTTTGGCATAACAGCTAGCGCTCAAGTCGCAAGACAAAATTGGTATAAAAATCAACTATAGGCAGTTTAAAGTTCAGACTAGAGCGGTAGGGTACGTAATAAATTCGATATCTTGTCTTTAGTGACCTTGAAAAAGTTCGTTTGATATCCTGTATATCTTAATCCGTGGTGTACAATACACTTTATACTATGTAATATGTATATAATAATAATTAGGAGTAGGATTTTATAGCATTTACTTATTATTACAGGATACAGATAAAAATACCAGTATGAGCTTTATATTTTGTTTCACGCACCTGCAGGAACATCACATATGGAATTTTACACTGTTAATTTTTTGCTAACATACAGAGTGATCACGATCCAGCGATTTGCTCGGAGTATTTTAAATATATTTGATTTCTGTTTTTTAATTATTGTGGAATCAATTAAATTTTATTTTAAAAACATTTTGAATATTTGACCCCTATTCCATATACCTTGAAAAAGTATATACTTTTGTTTTTCAAATAAGCCTCTCTTTTTGAACAGTGGTTCGAATAAAAAACATTTTTTTAGAAATTTTGATACGCATAACTGTAATATCAGAAATATTCTTTATGAGTTATAACCGGAGGATTAGGGAAGAGCCAATTACAAGATGTACAATCAAACATATATTGCAAAATGGGTGGGCCATTATTGTAAGTAAGAAGTTGGGAAAATAGGGTGGAAATTTAATGTACATCCGAACTCAACGATTGCTAATGAAAAACGATTCTGAGCGGAGTTCAGTTTTACGTGTTTTAAAAGTCCGTAATATTTACGTTTTGAAAATAATACATTTCATATATTTCTCCATTTTTCATACGTTTTTTCTCATTTATTATGAAAAATTCTTAGAATGTAAAAAAATAACATGATGTGTAACACTTAAGCACTCGCACGACTTACGCAGTGCTGTTTACTCGTGTGGGGGAAAAAATTACCTAGGATTCAAATTCTTCAATATTAAACTGTATCAGTACCAATATAATATAATAATAAGAACAACTATCAGAAATAAAGTAAGGCATTGAATTGTACTTTATTTTTTCATTTTCTTTAAAATAATTGAAAATAATAGAAATAAAAAATAATAAATTATATATTAAAATACGAATATATCTCATATTATGGCGCTGAAAAACATTTCAATCATCAAATCATCCCTACAAACTAGTTTTACACAGATGGTACCAACCTTTGTCGATTCCTTTTTGACGTTCCGTTATGATAAATATTAAAATGAAAAACGTATGCCAAAATATTTAAAAATATTAAATAAATCTACGAGACTGTAGTTATTACTAATATTGTGCAACTGCTAACTTTGATAAAATTCACGCGCAAAGATAGCGTGGGAGATTATTTACCCTGCGCGAGTGCTTACGGGTTAAAGTACGACCTCAGTCAAATTTTCTTCCAGAAAAAGTGCTACATTTGAAAATCGAAGCAAAATTTCTGGTAGAAAAGTTCAGAATCTAAATTAGACATGTTATATATTCTACCATTCCCTACTCTTTCGGTCTAAACTTTAAACGGTCGTGACTCAAAAACAATAAATCTAATATTGTAATATTATCCGTATCAAAATTTCTAGACAATTATTTTCTATTCGCATCGGTGTTCAAAAAGGGTGGTTTGGAGTATAGAGTAGAGGTGAAAATTAAAAATGGTTTTAAAATAAAGCTTAACCAGTCCCGTCATGATTAAAAAAAAAAAAAAAAACAGAAATCAAATGCACTTAAAATCCTCCAAGTTAATTGCCGGTTCGTGATAACAAAATCAAATCATTCGGTGTAATGATTTATTTTGTATTTTCATAAATGTTAGACAAAATCTGTCATTTATGTGAGTCCATCAGAAAAATATGGCACATAAATATTATTTTAAGACCTATTAGGTCATTTTATAGCGCATATTTCAGTTATTTTCTGCAGTATTGTAATATCCGGACCCCGATAATAATAGTGCAGAGTGTTAGTGTTTCGAATTTCGATCGTATAGAGTGACCCAGTAGAACAAGAATTCTGATCAGCGGTATAAAACACCCTTACACCGCCAATATTTTTACACTCAGCCAACCCTACACAGCGAAGTCCTAGTTGAAAACTTCTTTGCACAAAATGTGCACATTATAATAATAATCATGTAATACCGTATGTGCGTTTTCATGTATCCTGTTTGCATTGTACTTGGTATACGAACAACTTTCTGAAGATTGCGTATCGACTGGTTCCTCCTCTTCGATTTCGACCTTTTTTGGTTCGGGTATTTTGGGCGGTAAGCTTTGAGTCAATAAGCAACTCTTGTTATTCTCTATAATCGATTTCTGTTTGGCAAACAGTTCCCGGTACCGTTTTATATCGGTTTCCCATTTCATAGTTATTTTTGCTCGTTTCGAATCCACTATTTGCCTGATTACTTTTTTATCTCTGAGCTTACACGCTTCGATCAGTCTCAGTTTCCGATTGAGATCGAAAGCACGGATTTTTTCCAATCGTAACTGGACGTGTACATTATGTTCATTACCTTTCTGCTGGGTTCTTAACTTATCAGCCTTCCGGCGGATCACTAGGTCCGCGATACGCTTCTCGTTCAGTGCCAAGATCTCGGCCAATCGTCTCTGCCTGTCCTCGGACTGCTGTCGAACCGATGCTTTTCGCATCTCATCGCGGTCACAACCCAAGTCTTTGTATTGTACCGAGGTTAACCCGGAAATAGTGGGCGTGTAATCGTAAGACGACGGGACTTTCACCATCGTGTAGTATACGGTGGAATTCCGACAGATTTAACGAACGGTGAACGGACAATGACGCCGGGAAATTTAGTACGGCTTAGAGAAATTGCACAAATTATAATTGAAAACAATTTTGAAATATTTTGTAAAAAATAAAATAAAATTGCGTGAAATTTCGGTTGATGATCGAAATGTTGATTATTAATTATTTTTCGACACGGCGGGGGAGGTCATCGTCAGGGAAACCGCACGGTCATCGAAAATCAGATTTTTATTGAAGAAAAATTTAGCTATGGACTTTTTTTTGGTTTATTTAACCTCCGTGCGAAGGAAGTTTTATAATATTTACCGTCTCTCTGTCAACGCCATGAATGATGTACGATAATATAGTCGGCAGTACCTATACAACGTCGTTATAGAGTAATATCACGTATTTACCAAGTTTTTTTTATCAAAGTGAATCGTTATAGTCGTTGGAAAAGTATATACGTCTCAAAAGAATAATCTCTTATGTAAATCGTTAGTCGTATAATAATTTCGATTAAAATAAAAATTCATTAAGCGTCCGAAAATAAATTTTTATCGTGCGTTTTCGACGTGTTTTGAAATTAATATAAACAGTTGATTTTTCCCTACCTGCCTAAAGGATATTAAAAAAAACGAATTACTTGTTTCTTTGTAAGGTTTATGAAAAAAAAGTAATTAACGTAAAATATCAATAGTATGTATTTAGTTCCAAATCCAAAATTGTAATTTAAATATTTAAATTAAGTTTTTATTATTAACCTTGGGTATTTTTTCTTGGGAATTTAAATTAAAACACTTCAGTAATAATTTATTTATTATATTTATTTTGAATTAGACAAAGACGACAAACAACGTATTATAAAACTCACGGAGTAGCGAATTTATTACGTTACTAACAACTCGGTTAATTTCCCAATATTGATAACGACGTAACATTTTCCAAGGGAAATATCCAAAAATAATCAACTATATGAAAAATTCAAAAACGATAATCTCGTATAATTTTATATTTTAAATTTTGATGAAAGAGCTATTTGTTTTACTAAGATGTGTTTCTTTTTCAATTAATTAAAACGTTCAGAAAAATCATTCCGTAAATTAAAATATGCGGATATTTGATGCTTTTATACGTGGTACATTTAAAGTTGCGAAATGTCCATCCAGTGGTACTTTACTTGAAATACTTTTAGGAATTTTTAACACATTTTCATGCCCCAGGCATTTTTTTTGATTTTTTTCGGGAAATAATTTTTCGGTTAATAGAAACACTCTAAATCGTTCGTATTATAGTACATTAAAATATGCAGTACCTTCTCACCTACAATTGTAGCACTGGAAAACCCAGAATAGTGAATCCATGAAAAGTCCGTGATCTGTCCTCCTAGTCATTGAGTGAACACAGCTGTAAAGATACTTATTTCGGTGTCCTATAGTAGATAAGCTTAGGATATCCCATCACTGTTGTATAAACAGTAGAACGTGACAATAATGGGATATTAGTGGGAATTATAATATTTATGCAAGTTCTGGGCATCCTCAAGGAATACTCAAAATAAGGGTCATAGTTGTTCACTTTGAATGAACATGCTATTTCATTTGAAACAAGTGTCTATAATTCCATCAGTTTTCTATACAGTTTCAAAATCGATTTCAAATACATATATCGAGTTTATTTTTGTCGATTTCTAAGTTATCTTGGTTACAGGGGAAAAACGACACTTATAATACTAATACTCAGAATCGTTTTTGGTTCCAATGAGTTATCGTTGCTTTGCATATACAAATGAAAATACCCTATATGCTATACATTTAAAACTTTCTACCTTCAATTGCGACTTACACATCGTGGTGCGAAATACCTACGTCACGTAGTCGTAAATTTGAGTATAGAATTGTACCAGAGGGCAACCCTAACTGACGTTATAATTCCACATGATTCTAATCTTCCATACTTTTATTAAGTTAAATTTTTTAATTCTATATTTTATAGACTTGAACTTATTTTACTTAGTAAACATAATAATTATCAGCATGACCTTAACATTATGTATGCATTATATACTGCTTGTAATAGTGGTTTTTGTATAAAAAATCATTAGAAAAATCCACGATCGTGTAGAATAGTGTTGAACCTTACTATAACAATTATGTTAAATATTGTAGTATACAATATTATTGTTGTGGCATTTCTAATTATTTTGCGAAAATTCTAAACAATAATAATAATGTCAGAGTCGCTTTCAAGGTTAATGTTAATAATTTATTGAAGCGAATAGATAGTGACAAGACTACAAACAATTATCTTTTAATTTTGATAACGCTGAATTACTTAATGTTGAACGCAATTGTAGTTCGTTTTATACTGTTAAGACAAGTAGGAACGTTAAAACCAGATAGAAATAACATATCTCTGAAATAAAATTAAAAAATGCTTCTCCTTATTCTAATTTCGCAAGACGTGTTTTAAAAAATAATAATATATTAATGATTGAGATTTCGAATATTCAACGTTTACGTTTATTCTTTATATTAGAAGTGGCGCAAAATGAAGTTAGGGTACATAAGTTTTGAACGTCATGAATACACAGACGAATTTTAAAAATAACATTCTATAAGTACCGATATTTTAAAGATACCTAAGAAATAACAATGATTTTTAAATCTATGCTATTTAAATAATATATTAAAAATAATAATATATTGAAAATGGATGGACATACTTCACACGTGATAGCAGTCACTGTTGTAGGTGGGATGTTGAGAGGGTAAGGTTTCTGGCAGAAAAAAAGTCCACTTAAAACAAAAAAAAATATATAATTGTAAAACCAATACGTTCCTCGCTCCGCTCAGACTCTAAAAGCGTTAATACTGATGATGGGTACACCGCAATATCATAGATGTGAAGTATGACACGTTAAGCTTTTCAATAAATTGAAAGTAATGATAAATCATTGCTAAAGTAATAAGATTCTGAACGAAATACAATAATATTTACGATATTTTTAAACATTTGATCTTAAACAATACAAATACAAACTCATCTTTTTGTACTACTTAATAACTTTTAACTACTTAACTTATCACGAACCTCATATTAATTTTCAAGAATTTCTGTTTGGTCAAATAATTTTAACAATTTTCTTTAAAAACCGCACATTAGAAATTGTTTTTCTCTTAAAAATTGTGAAAACCAAGAAAAAAAGGGAAAATTAACGCAACACGGTTTTGTGTTATTTCTAATTGTGCATTTTTTATTGTGATTCGCTTAGAAATAATCGTAGAGACCTGCAGTGTTTTCACAGAGTTGTTGTACAATTAAAAAAAAAAAAATATTCTAGTGACTGTTTAATATTTATTATTTATTTTTGAAAGTATCAAAGCTTTTTGGATTTGTATTTGCTTTTGTGTAAATAAAATTGTTTTGGCCCAGTAATAATGTTCGTTAAATTTCTTTTAAGAACCTCATGGTAATCATATTCATTAGTGCACGCAGGATTTATTTTTTTTTTTTGAAGTGGTTTTGTTTATAACAATTTTTTAGAGAGGATAGCACATATTATCAGTACAGTACTATTACTATTATTACTGAATAAATTATTTTCTATGAAATTCAATACTATTTTATTCTGTGGTATATTATAATATTATATTGTTAAATGTAAAACTTGATTTAAAAAAATTTAGTGAAGACATTTCGGAAAGGTTTATGACCCCTAACCCCTCTTTGTGTGCGTTACTAATCATATTACTCATGAAAATAACGTTATACTTACTACTATTTCGGTCGTTTTTTGTAAGTGGTACCTGTCTTTCCGAAAATTTTCCCTATAGTTGATTCATCCGCTCGGTTTTTGATTTTTAAATAAACATTTGAGGACCTGAAGTCTGCTAGAGTTTTTATACTCACCGTAGTAAAACTAAAAGTGCCGGTTTTAAAAACTGCCGGAAGTTAGTCTTCGTCGTTACTGTAAATATTCCAGCGATATCCATGAATCCGCGATCTTTCCAGTATCAATTGTATCAACAGTATCTTCAAGTCTAACATTATAAGGGAGTAAAGAACTCTATTACTTTTCCCGAAGGTAACAATAACCAGATCAGTACGCTAACTTAACGGAATTTTGCTGTAACCAATTCCTGTGATCTGTCGACGTGGTACTCTTCTGCTTTATCTATATAACCCACCGTGGTTGTCAATACACTAGAATTCAGGCCCTAGGTCCTACAGTTTTAGGTTTTACCACGTAGACTACTAACCTCCTCAGAACAGTATGACGTTTCAACCAACAACAGGCATGTTATATTTTCGGTTTGGACTCGCAAAATTTAATGTTTTAATTTTTTTTTTTTTTTTTTTACAATAACACGAAGAATATCTAAATTAAAACCAGTGATCGGATTTATCGAGTTAACTTTTTAGATACTTATCTTTTATTTAATCTCGATAAACAATTTCAAGTTTTCTAAATCGTTATCTTAAATACATATTTATTTATATAAATTATTCTGGGTAATTAAAATATCCAATAACCAGAACTACTGTCCAAATGAAAATTTGTTTATTTTCATTTTCTTTCGAAAAGATGAAAAGATTATACATATCAGTTAATGTATCATTAATAATACTTAGTATATGGATAGGTATTTTAATGAGTTAATAAATAAATTATATTGTTCAATTCGGTTTATTTCAAGTCTTTAATTTTGGCAGTTTCATATTTATCCTTTAGTAGTATCAATATTATTAGTTTTATTTTGTTAGTTTTATACTGCAGTGATCAAGTCCAATTTAATGGTGCTCCCATGGGGTAGACTTCAAACACGTCGTAAATGTTCTCTCAAAATTTGTTTTAATAATTATGCAACTAATGCGTACACTATCAAATCATAATGAATTTGTGAAAAAAAAATAGCTTTTGTTTTTATAGTAGTTGATATTTTTCCGAAAAACCGAACTATATATTTGTTTGGTACTGATATTATTTTCTTCCGACGAAAATCGTGTACTTCGATGACGTTCGAATAAAATCAACGATAACATTTTTTTTAGTATTTTAATTTATTAATGGTTAAAACTAGGAGAAAAATAATTTGAATAAAAACGCGCATTTTTTCATGATGGAAATGAAAATGTTTGAAACCACCAGAGAAAGGCGTAATAAATATTTGTATTGCATGAAATGCATCATAAGTCCCTTTGCTCTAAACTCAACCAAAGAGTAGCGCAATCGTTGAAACACGAAGTGTATTTGTTGCTATATTACGCACGAGACGTACAGATGATTCAAATTATGCGTCGAGATTAGAGACCCGTTAACCGAAAGCATAATATAAAATACTAAAACCATAGTCTCGAACTAAAATATATAGGGAATATTATGGCATATAGATGTTTTTTTTTTAGCACCCTCAACTTTTTAAATTAAATTGTTAAAATATAGTGCTGAGTATACACTCAACAAATTTAATGGGAACATCAATATAAATTTCACTTAAATTTATAAACTATGAATAACATGGATAATGTTGAACGTAAACAAATTGATTAGACTAGGTTAAATTAAAGTTATTTGTTCTTTTTTTTTTTTATCGCTAAAGAGTTATAACATAGAAGAAAATTAAACTAACTTTTTACAAATTTTTAGAGTTAATTGTTCTTAACTTAGTTGGAAAACCACATCTATTTTTCAGTCAATATATGTGTTAAACCAAATATGTGTTTATGTTTTATCCAGATAAAATGCAATAATCTTTAACTTAATCTAGATAAATTTGTAAGTTTCGTGTAATTCATCTTCGTCCGTAGATCAATTTTCGTGAATTACTTACTTTTTTTTTATATTTATCCAGACAAATTATCAGGTGGCTAATTCTAACACTGGTCATAACGTCCAGTACCTATAACCGCCATATTCAGTTGTCGCGGTTACGCTGTCAGTATAGGAATGGTGAAAAAACAAACACAAATACAATATATTTGATTGAATAATTTTATTTCCGAATGGATAAAACAGTTAAAAAGAAGGCTTATATAATATGATTAAAATATTTAGTTATTATTATTATAGTATGGTTATTTTTGAATATAATATGAATAATCTTAAATATTTAGAATAAAAATCGCTATTCGATGTATATAAGTATGTTTTTTTTTTTTCTTATAAATAATGCGAATATTCGCGAATTAGTGTATTTTAAAAAAAACCGAGTGATCTAACGACCGGTTGCCGTTGCACTGTCCGTAACGAATTCCTAACCGACCACTGCGATATTTTTCGCACGCGTATTATTATTTTCGTTCTTTTATAACCAGTGGTGTGCCCGGTGATTTTGAAAACGGGAGAGAACGTAGCGAACAATAGTACCCCGAATCGCGTTGAATCTTTTTATCCGTCCGAATCGACTAAGAGCCGATTCCTCTAAGCTTTTTCTAGTATGGTGATGTTTTTTATCATAAACCAACAATTTTAATCATTGTGGAATCGTTTAAGCTCGATTTCAAAACCATTTTTTACCCTTACTCTATATACTTTAGATACGTATTTACTTTTGTTTTTCAGATAGATTTTAAAGTCTAGAAATTTTAATATGCGTAATAATAATATCAGATTTATCATTAATGAGTTATAACCTTTTAAATTTCAGATCGGAAGAGTAGGGGAGGGTTGTCAATGTATCATTTGTCACCCTTCCCTACTCCGGTCTAAACTTTAAGCAGTAAATTTGATATTGGTATTGTGCGCATCTAAATTTCTTGACCAATATCCTCTATTTAAATCTGTTTTGAAAAAAAAGAGTTTTCTATTTGCCAAAAAAAAGTGTATACTTATTTAGAGTACACGGAGTAGATGTGAAAAATTAAACAAAATGGTTTTAAAATAAAACTAAAACGATTCTACGATTATTAAAATCCTCCTGGAAAATTGCCGGTTACGAGAAAAAAAAAAATCACCTGTATAATCTGATATTTCGGTTAACAAACAACGTTACTCAAACCTAGATGTTTTGTTTTCAAGCCAATGGGGGTGGGGGGAATACAATCTCCTCTCGCGCACGTCTCTGTTTACACAATAGTTATTAAAAAAGAAAAAAATGTATAGAACAATCGTTTCTATTACGGACGTTGGCAACGGGGCGTATCGCTCAATACACTCGGTATGATATTGTTCTAGAGTAATTGATATTAATAAATGATTATTATAATATTGTAAATTATTATATTATGTTCCTGTAAACTATTAATAGACGTAATATTTGTTTTTCAAATAACGTAAAGAGTGCGTAATAAATCAAACGATAAAATGTCGAACATAACATTATGGTATGCCCGACGTGCGTATACAGTAACAATAATTCAGATTAAAATGTTATAATATGTTAAAGTTGAAATTAGTAAGGAAAAAAAAAAATTGGATCAATCGATATATTTTGTGTTCGCCGGTGTTTATTATCTCAAACCTTCGTAATATTATGCGATATTATAATACACACAATCATAGTAATACATTCTCGAGTACTCGCGGTGTTTATTAGCTGAGACCACTGGGACCGCTACGTGGCCGGGCCGGGGTCGGAACCCTGTCCCGACCGGGCTGCAGCAGTGTTCAATCGTTTCCAAAATCATACTAATCATTGCTGTTATTATTTTTCTTTAGATGCGAAACGCCATAATCGAGTGCGGTTTATTGTGCCGTCGAAACGCAAGTAAAATACCAATCGAATGGACAGTTGACGTGTATATTTTTCAAACGTTGAGTAGTTGTGGGGTGGGGTTGTCGAACAAAAAAAAAACGAAAAAAAAAAAACCCTTCCGGAATTCGTTTTTGATTACGCTTCAGCCTGATGACTGTTGGCGGCGAAACGGTGACACCGCGTGTGTCGAAAACCGAAAACGTTTAATTGTTATTTTCCGATAGAGGCGAGATTACAGAATTGATGTTATTGTTGTTCTATAGAAATCCGATTACGTCCGTCCGATTGTTCGGAAATTTTCGTTCGGCCGGTGTAAAATATGCCGTCAGGTTTTACCGGGCGTTTCGATGGCGACTTGCTGGCGGCGACGCGGCCCGGAGTGCGCCTCCGGACCCTCGAAAACGGGCGCCCGAGGTCGGTCGGCGATCGTGTGCCGTCCGAGCGAGAAAATAACCGATACAGTTTGTTGACGTATCGTAAGACGTAAATTCGGATTGCCGGTTGAAAAAAAAAAACCACTTTGAAGACGCTGTCGAGTGTGTGATGGCCGGAGAACCGGGGGGGGGGGAGGGAGAGAAACACACAGAATCGGAATGTGAAAAGACGTATTTAGAGAATTTATATTATTATTATTATTGTTATTATTTTATTTTTTTTTTACGTGTGATCTTGATGTTTTTTTTATTTTTTAAATTTTGGTCGATGATCTTCGGCGTGATGTTTATTTGTAAATTTGATCGGATATTTTTATTGTTCTTCTGCCGAGATTTAAAAAAAAAAAAACGTTTATTATTTCGTGTTTCCCCCCCCCCCTCTCCCTCCGTAAAAATAACCGTGTGTACAGTTCTGTAGAAGAGATGAACGAAATAATAATGATATTAAAGAACGGAAAATCTTATTATTATTATTTTTTTTTTTTTTTTTACTGGAGTGCGTTCGCGTTGAGGGTTCTTTTCATTCTTAGTTGTTTTTTTTTTTTTTTTATTGCTTTTTCATTTCCACTCCGCTTAACCTCTTCTTCCGCGCCGACACCGTTTTTCGCGGGTCGACCTGCCCAGGTCTTTGTGCTATTATACGCCGAACTTCTTCTCTCCCGAACTTTGTCGACTTTTCTCACCGGCGAGTTCTTTCTCGACGACCGCCAACGAGCAGGTAATTTAGTATACCCCGGCCCGGCCAGAAACAGTGACAACGGGATTTCGCTACGGCAAAGTTTCATTCCGAACAATATCATTCATAAGCACGACGACGACGACGATAATAACAATAACGGTTACGGAATTATTATTATCATTATTGTAATTTATTTATTCGTTGTTTATTTTTATTTAGCGTCCGTCCTCTTGTCGTTCGCCTTGTTACGGTGATATTTTTTCGAAAAAAAAAAACGGAAGCGGTCAGGCGAAGTGAACCGAGCAAAACACTTTTATCTTTTTTTTTTTAGGCACAATAAACCACGTACTCATGATGGATCGATAGCAATATTGTTATGTATGTACGTCTAGCCGAAAATAGGTGTTCAAATTTCGACGGCGATGGTAATGACAACGGAGAACTTTACACGATAACCGGGATGTAAATAATAGTTTTTTTGTGTGTGAGATAGGAGGAGGGGGAGCGAAGAAAACCAACGGGCAGTGATCGGATTCGGGAATAATAATAATTAACTCAAAATTCGGAAGTATAATAATACACTAGCTGTCTGGCTCTGCGACGCACGCGTGTTAAATACGCGCCGCCGTGTCGACGACGGCGGCGCGTCTCCGTCTCATCAGAGTTTGTATATCGTGGGAAAAATGTTAAATTCTTCGTGTATATTATTACGGTTTATAGTATAAACAATTTTAACGAAAAAAAAAAAAAAAGAAAAACAAACCAAAAAAAAAAAAAAAAATACGCGTAACATAATTAACAATATAAAATGAGATGGTAAGCGTAATTTGTTTCTTGATAACGTATATAATAACGAATCGGTTTGATAACAATATTTACGATAAACAAAAATAAAATAATAATAACGAACAGAAAAAAAAAAAAAAAAAAAAAAAAAAAAAAACAAAACAAAACATAAACAACGAACAAAACTACGGTTATAATTATAGACGTACATCGCGAAAACCATTACGAAACGTAACGATATAGCACATTATAATAATATTATATTTGTTTTATCATTTTCGATAAACGAAATAATGACAATAATAATAATTGGTAATTGGTAATGGTAATGGCATATCGGCATATCGGCGGTTTCGTTTTGTACGAATATAAAACAAAAAAAACAAAAAAAAACAAAAAAAAAAATAATAATAATAATAATAGTCAGATGGTAACTAAACTCGTGGTGGAACAATCGGCAATTGAATGGGACAGGAAAATAAAAAAAAATAAAAGAAAAAAAGTCGGATAGTAAGATGTTTATGTTTTTGTGCGGAAAAATTCGAGTGAAAACCTTACACGTCGGTAGAAAACCGAATACGAATGTGTTCGCATCGAAAAGTAAATTTCTCATGTACGTACGTGACGACTGTAAAGTGAAAAGGAAATAAAAAATAAAAAAAAAATAATAATAATAATAAATAAAAACGCATTGGAATGTATGAGGGGTTTTTCTGGAATATTCGATTGGCAGGGAGATATATTAGAAAGAAAAAAGAAAACGCACTTACTCTCATTTTTTTTTTGTTTTGTTTTTTTTTTCAAACCTATTTTCTAATGTTTTCCATCTACTGACGCGTATCGACGCGTCGCCTTCGGCCCGTTTGTTTATTATCGTTTTCTTACGGACTACTTTATTCCCTATCGGACATTATTTGTATTTCAATAATTATTAAGCTTGAGTAAATGTACGGTTAAATCGGATTCTAGACGATCCGCTACTTATTCCCTATCGGATACGTATTATAGTGAGTATAAATATTTTATTATCGTGTTATTGTTTATTATTACGCGTTGCGCTGTGGAAGGGACGAGGAACGAAACTCGATATTGTTCTAGCCGGCATTTCCCTACTGGATAACGTCGTTATTCTTCTACATTAGTAGCGGCCAGACGCCTCGGGGCCTACACTAGTGTTTGTTCACCGGGTGGTAGAAACGATAAATCGGGTCGAAATCGAGCGTTTCGAACCGTGTCGGTCTTCTTTTCCGGCGTTCAGCCGGTTAACGGCGACGATCTGTACGGACAACGCGAGTACCACGCGTCTAACGAGTCAAATATTTGATATTGTAATATTACGTTTAACGGCCTGCGACCCGTGAGAAAAAGCCAACCGGTGTAGTCGACATATTATTGATTTTTTGTTATGTTGTGTTTGTTTGTTTGTTTTTTTTTTCCCCGAGTCGTCGCGACGGTGAACTGGATCCGTGAATTATCGTTTCGACCCGATTGTTGTGGATGATTTTTTAAAAAAAAGAAGACGGTTCGCATCTGTTACACTATTGACGGGAACGTGAACGTAACTGATCTTAATTTTCTGGGTGGGGGAGGGGACTTAATGCCTATTATTTTTTGATAAATCCAGAATAGTCTATGCAATGTATAAACATAGTAGTATTATGTTATAATACTACCGTATACCTACTTAAATTTTTGAAAAAATCGTTTGTATTTAATAAAGTTATTGTATCGAAATTATTTTTGGTAAACCAACGAGTGGAATTTTTTTTTCTTTGAGATAAACATTAAAAAATAATAAAAAAAAAAAAATGTACGGCGTTGAGAGAATTTAACTCTCAACCCCGCTCCCCCCCCACCCAGAAACGTTCATGACTGGGTAAAGAATATAATTTTACTACGTTTAGGTATTTGTACGTTATAGAATGATGACATGGGGGCGTGAGAAAGTGCATTCTTAAATCTAATATTTCAAGCGCCGGTTTTTATCCGTATTCTACTTATTCCCTAGTCGGATAGAACACTATGTAATATTGTTATCACTACTAAATATTAACGAACGATTATCATAAAAATTCACTAGCGCGTATACGATATTGTTATCTAATTTCAAGCGATAGACAAGCGTTTTTCCCTAGCGGATTACATATATTATCGTAATAATATTTCGTACTACTCGGCGTGAGAATAAAACGCGCGTTCAATATATTTTATGCAATGGTTTCGAATACCTAGTTGTTTTGTTTTTTTTTTTTTAATTTTGTTTTCTATTTACCTAGTACACTACCGGATAATATTTTACTATCGTACGTCTTACGTATTGCGTATTACAGGGACCGGACAAGAGAGAATAAAAACGCGACTGCGACCGATATAATTGCCGTACTGTATTGACTGTTCGCCTACACGCGGATAATATTGTTATTAAAATAATTTGCGGACGCTGCTACGACTATACTCTACCGCTATATTACGGCGTACGTGCCGAATATACGGAGAAAATCAAACAGCCGTCTAAAACGTTACTTGAAATTTGATAATATTAAAAAAAAAAAAAAAAAATAGCTTTTTTCTGTTTTTCGATAATGCTTTAACGCGGAGATAAATACGGGAGATTTGAAACGAAAAAAATAAAACCTGTTAATAATCTACATTATACAGCACGCTTGTCTTCTTACTATTCTCTTGTCGATCGATTCGTGATTAATGAGCACATTCTATATTATTTAATATTGTTAATTTTGACACTATTGTGGTGGGAAAAAAAAACTACTTTTTCTAAATGTTACGGTGTTGTTTTTGATTGAACGGCGTTTTAATGTCTGCGGCGGTGAATGATTTAAGCGAAGAGTTTGAAAACCCAGTAGAAAACGACGACGTAAGCAATGGCGGAGCATGCGCTGCTGGCGGCGTTCGGGTCTGAAATCACAAAGTAAAAAAAAACATAAAAATATTATTACTCGTGTACAAAATACGTTTTTTTGTATGAAAAATAGTTGTAACAATTAATCCATTTCGTGAGACTGCGGCTTGTACAACAATTACAATTATTGTTATCAGTCAGACGACGACATTTGCACGTTTGCATTAATTTTTAAGTTTAAATTGCAAGAAAATTGTTTTTCATAAAAGTCATAGGTGATCCGAAATTCCGAACCGGTTAAAAACCAACGACACCGTGTACAGTAAATTATCATCGCATACGGATATTCGCGGTTACTTCTCGGCCGTTTACAATAATCGTACTCCTTCACACGGGGCATTTTATTCAATGACCGGTAATCGTGTGGTCGCTCGAGCGTGCGCTAAGGAGCCGTTATCGTCGCTGTTATCTCGTCCCTCGTACGCACGGTTAACACCAGAACCCAGGTATAATAATAATATTACGGATTTCGGTAAACCGGCGTGATTTTTCGAATGCCGTACCGGTCGGTAATTAGTAAACGATTTTAGCGCCCGTGTACTTTGTGCGAGAATCCACGCGAAACGCGGCAGTGGCTCGCTGCCAGTCGAAACGATCCCGCCCGCGGTTAACTGACCGTGAACCGATATTACAACAGTATCGTTGTCACGCGTATACGCTATTACAGTGTACAGGGCGCATTCGCGGCGTTTCAGGAATTTCGCGCCAGTGGCGGATCCTAGAAACGGGGGGAGGGGGGTCCAGGAGCTCCGGCCCTCCCCGTCTCCTGGACCGTAGACTGTACAAAATGTTTACTTCCAAAAATCGTTTGATTGTTTTACGAGCGTATAATGCAAGATATCCAAGGGAGAAAAGCGGAAAAGATCGACGAATAAATTGATTGCGCAATGACGTGTTTTAATTTTTCGTCTGTGAACGAATTTTCTACCTTGATGTTAATTAAAGTGTCCCACACACTCAACTTCTCACCTACAACAATGACTGCGCCCATTCCCGGTATCACCTCTTGTATTCTTTTTCTCTGTACCAAGTTTTTTTTTACAAGGCCGAAATTCAACACGAAAATCCGCCGCTGTTTCCCGCGCGATTTTCATACCGTAGACAATCGTCCAGTGTCGCCCCGTAATTATCATACGGAACGCCGGAATTAACACAGTCATATGCGCCCGGGTCGATAATATTATCATCATCATTATTATTATTATTATAATTATTATCAATTAAATTGTGGGCGTGTAGTCGTTTATACGGCCGATAAGAACAGCCGAGCACGACGCATACGTACGGGTCCCGTTGTGATATTGTATTGCACGGACCGGCGTCTAATAAAACGATTTAATGTCGCGCGTAATAGTCGGCAGATCTCTGCGATTTATATTTTCGTGTTCTACACCGCGCGCAGACAGAAAAATAATAATATTTCATTCGATCGGGGTGAAAAAAATAAAAATGTATTTTTACTATAAAGGTACACGCGATTACAATTATCGAGACATAGACGAGAGACGATTAATTCTCGAATAATTATTATTGGGACGAAGGCGAAAGATATTGCATGAACGCGCGAATTTCTACTGTCGAGATAAAGATAATTAGTTATTTTTTTTACCTAGGTTTTAAAAATACCGTGCGATTGCGGATTCGCAAACGTGATTCTGATTATATTGAATTGGTAAACTACGGTCGTATTATGAATTAAATACCGTATCAATTATTTTAAACAAATATTACTGATTGCGGTTTGAAAAGTTTTATCTAGACGGTTAAATTATTTACTTCAAATAACTCATTTCCTGAACTTCCGTTCAACCGAATAAAATAGAAAACACAAATATATCTCTTTGAATAAAATACAGCGCGCGGTATTTGTATTTTAGAGACGATGAAAAAAAAAAAAAAAAAACATCAGGAGCACAAACAACCCGCTGGATCCGCGTTTGAAATATACCGAAAAAACCGTACGTATTCCGAATTTCGACAATATTATTCTGTTATTGGTAGCGCGGTGTCGTTTTATAATACTTTATACGTATTTTCCGAACTCGATTTTCTAACTCGAATGACATAACCGTGGCTTGGCACATTGTGACTTGGCACAACTGTGTGATTGTTTTTGATTTCGAACGCGTAAACGTGTAAAACGTATGAGATAGTTAACAGTGTTGAGAATTACCTAGATAATATTATGTTTTTTAATTTTTAATTTTTGATCTAGACGAAAATCTCGATATCTATTTGAGGATATTATTTAAAATGAAAAATAAATTTTTTTTTTTTAGTAATAATCTAGACAAAATATAGAGAACATACAGAATTTATAATTAGGTTCATCTCCTCGCTATAACGTTACGTTCTCGAAAATGGACGATTTCTGGAGAAATAAGATTTTTCTAGATACATTCCACCGAATGTGGAATCTGTGGTATCTTATCGGGAACAATTTCAATACCTCTTATCGTTTTCTGTGTATAGACGATTTCGAAACAATTATCTTTCATCTTTGACTATGGCTGTACAAATGTTACTTATCTGCGCCGCAACGCGCGATTTTTAGGCAATAAGTAAATAAGGCCGTTTCTGTTCCGATTCGGTGACGAAACTCCACTACGGTTTATCCGTTTGAAATGGGATGAAATCGCCGGTGAAATTGTTGCGAAAACAGCTAAATAATATTATGATGCGGTCCCGAATGCATGACTCGCATTATAAAAAAAAAATATATAATATTAAACAGAACGCAGAGGGATGAAAGTCGATGAGCCGGGGACGGTAGTGTGAGCCGGAAGGGAGGGGTGGTGAGGGCAGGAGGTAGGATTGCGGTTTTATGTATTTTTGTTTCGCCGACCGCGTTAAATTTTAATAAAGAGTCGCGCGTGTGCGGAGACGGGGACGAGCGTGTTTCGTTCAGTCTGCTGCACTGCTGTCGCGCGTGACGCCGCATAAAAAAAAATATCCGTGTCGGATTACACGTCGTCGTCGGCGGGAAAAAATAATCCACCGCGTTTATGATACCGGGCATATTGCACATACGCATAGGTAACCGTAATGGTGTTATTATCATTATAATATATACCGTACCCGGGAAATTTTCCCCTTTTAAAGGGTCGGAAGGACGGCATGGCGGTTCCGAAGAAATTTTATTCCACAGAGAAAATAAGGTTTATCCTAAAAAAAAAAAAGAATGATACGAGTTTATAATAACACTCGTCGTATTATTCTTTATTCCCCGCAGGCACCTAATATTATACCTCTACGAATTTTCGCAATCTCCTGAAATTTAAAAACCCTTCACTTGTTTAGATCGCGATGTACCGAACTTCTGCATCATTGTCGCATCACTATCAACCATCAATCTATCGACCACTTTTGACGACATCCGGATCTGTTCTGGGTCGATCTCGAGGTTTTTTCTCGTTGGTCTTGAAGTATTTACTAGTATGAAAATTTTAGCCCAGTCACAAGGAAAAAACTTGATTTATTGAAAAGAAAACTTGACTTTTTCAGATTTGGCATTTAAATTCTCATTATCGGGTTAGGAATAACAGAAGAAAAGTCTGCGATTTATTCACGAATCATTATGGTATTTATTTACTACGTTCTCTCCTATTGAAAATTCCCGGGCGCGTCACTTGTATGTGTTCCATCCATTGCATACTCGTACGCACAAATGATAATTCAGCGAGTAAATTTACAAAAGCCGAACTTTCAAAAACGAAATGTTGAGGTGACGTCATCGACCCGACGATAACTCGGCACGTGGCAAAATGTCATCGCGGAAACAAAATAATCGGCCAAAATTCGATTTGAATTATACGACGATGAATTTTTATTTTTCGACCAAGTAATTGGATTCGTAATAAGGTATTATAGCCGTTATTTTTTTCACTATATTTTCTTTTTGGGGGTGATGACGGGAAAAAAAATACGTTTTTTGTTCATTTGTTCGCCGGAAATTGGAAACGTGTTTTACTTAACGGAGGTCGTTAAGATGACTCGAAGAAAAAGAAAAACGCGTAATGAAAAACCGTTGTAATAACCGTTGTTTATCACCTCGCCACTTCTATAACAAAACCTTAATGATTTATCGGATACCGAATCGAGTAGTTTGTATATAATTTTTTTTTTTTTCCGAAATTATTTTTGATACAAAAATATTGACTGGAACGAACGCAGGGGCCACGGGGTTCTCGCAATATATAATGTACAACCTTCGCGGGTCCCGATAAACTCGAAAAAAAACAGCGCCGAAAAAACAGGTAGTCGTTTTCGGAGATTGTAACATACATTTTTTTTTTGTTTTTTTTTTTTTTAATTTTACAAACTATCCTATTGAAACGCCGACGAAGAAACGCATTTACACGCCACCCGATTGGAAAAATAACAATAATTCACAACGTATAAATAAAACATAATATTATAGAATATTTCCGATTGACCGCTGCCGCAGAATACCTATAAATCAACTGATTCGACAGCGCAATTGTCGTAAAACAAAACGGAAAATGTCAATTTTAAATCGGGCCTTTTTCGCGGTCTACGCGCGTTTTCCGTCCGATTTACTGACGCGTAGGTAATAAGATCGACAACCAATGATTTTATTTTTTTTTTATTTCTATACTTTTACAAACAATCGTATCGGATTTTCTATCGGCCTTTTCCGGCACGGCACACACGGCGGTGTTAAAGTATTTACAGGTGCCATTTGTTCGCATGAATTTTACAGTGATTGCCCGGAATCACTGTACATACCGGGTTATATAAACAGCTTACCGTGTTTATCCGCCCGGAGTCTAACAGGCGTTTATTGTACACGCGCACATACACACATAAATATATATATATACGAACCCGCAGTCAGAATCGTTCTGGTATTACGCGTATTCGGGTTAGTAATGTTAGTATTATACGGTACAGCACAGTGCGCAGGCATACGTGTGAAATTTCCAAAACAGAAATAGAAATACACTATCGGTAAACTTTGGGGGTCATATTATTTCAC